CTGATCTCCACCGGAGCTATGTAAACAAGTTCATATTGACTCAAAATAAAATCATACACAATGGATGACCAACCAATTAAGTTCACTCATGATAGGTTAACCAACCGGTGTACATGTTTTTATTTCCAACCCATCCGATTCCCTGCCAAACAACCCTACGTTTCAGATACAATCAAAGAAGTTGAGATCTCCCATTAACAAAATGGGAATGTAAACTTGAGTATGATAGAGATGGTAGTCGTAGACAATGCCAAAAAAAGTTCAAGATCAAGCGGCTACATAAATCGGCTTCCTATTCCGGGTTCATGATATGATAACTCGCGAAGTAGCAGATGACTTTTCCTACACGAATGTGTTGCGATAATTTGAGAATTCATTTTCGCTTGTTGCAAGTACGAGTACGACAAGTTGCGAAAGATTCCCTCCCAAGTCCCAAATCCCAACTACCGACTAATCGACTGGTGGCTCTTTTTGCATTTGGCTGTAAGGGGAGAGGGAAGCTTCCTGGAATCTTCGCTTTTCCCATCGAGGGGGACCATACTACACATGTGCTAGTTTTAAGAGTCCGGCAATCAGAACCGCATGTCGGAATAGTGGCACCGTTGTCATCGTACCCCATCTACACGGGAACTGAACGCTACAGACCAATTGCAACACGCCAGGTCAGCCGTACTTGGGACCCACGCTTACTACGGAGATGTTAAGATATGTTTATTAATTATGAGAGATTGGCACGACGCATCAATCACTGAAATGAAACGTGGTCTTTACGGCTTCACCATTGTGAAATTATTACAATACCCTTTGTTAAATATTTTAATTTTTTCTTTCATTCGTATCTATATCCCATACTGTGCAAATTACTTCTTATTTATTTGATTTTATTGGGTAATGACTTAAACCTCACATCTAAATAATGAATCATCTTTCAGTTTTCAAACTAGATTTAGACCTCTCTTCTCAAATTTATAAACTATTATCTAAGGAGGAAGAAAAAAAATGACTAATATATTTTGAGCTAAATTTGGGATTAAATTAATTATAATTAATTTAGAGAAATACCCATCATCTTCAACCTATTGAAAACTTGACCATAGACGGACCTCAATCTATCCACTGATCGACCTATCTTCCCACTTTTAAGTCAATTAAAATTAATCTGAAATAAGAAATGTAATTGTAAAAGGATAAGTTGAAACGTTCACAGATTTACAACAAAAATGTTCCAAAAAAGCTAAAAAAAAACAGTTTAAAGGTTGCCTTTTATCGGTGAGGAGAGGTTCATGTCCATAGAAGACAATCAACTAAGCAAAGAGGTAATAAGGGGCATCATTGAGATTTTCTAAAAATTTATACTGCACATGCTAACAGACATGGACAGAGAGTTAAAGATGGGAGGTTTTTGTTTGTTGATGTCATCTGAAAGGGGTGGTCTAAGTAAAATTTGAAAAAGTGACGGGATGTTTAAGCATTTGGTAAAAATATTAGATGTTTGTGTTTTACCCATTTTCTTGTCTTTAAAGTTTGTACTAATAATTGAGTGACATGTGCAAAAATAAAAATAAATGTACAAGAACAGATAGACAGAAAAAAGAAATGGATTAGAATTTTTTTCTTCTTTATGCCAGTCTGCATGTTAAACCAAGGTAATCTGAATAAATGCATATGAAGCACTTGATCAAAAACAAAATTAAACTTGCTAATGATATTATTTTGTTATATATATATAACATAACATGCAGACTTGTCACATGGCTCTCCTTGTGATTTTTCTTCTTTTTTTTTTGAAAAAATTGCACTATCAGATTTACATGTGATATATGGCATTTGTTCTATCTTTTCATTTTGTATTTTTCTTAAACTTTTAAATTCTCTGTCCCACCCAATACAAATTTTCTTTCCTCAAAATTCTTTTCTATTCCCCCTATTTTTCCATCACCAAACTTTGTTTTTTTTTTATGAATTTTTTCCGATGTCCCTAAGGCTCTGTTTGGAAAAAGTATAAATACAAATATATACAATATAAATACATACAAAATACAAGGTCTTGCACTCTATATATTTGTATTTTTACTCCTTATAAACTAAGCCTAAATTTTTATCAGTCATGTCCGTGCGCATATCACTGATATGAAGAGAAATAAATGAAAACTCGCATCCGTATATATGAGAGAGAAACCTTCATTCAGAGAGAAACCCTAATCTAATCCATGATACTGGTTGATTCACTAAATAATGCACATAAATGAGTGAAGACAGAGAGGATAAAAGTAAAATCTTAAGAAGAAACAAGTGAAAGAGAAACGGATATCCATCACCAACCAAGCTAGAGAGAAATAAGGATTTGGGAGATTATCAAGTGGGTATTTTGGATGAATTCATCTCTGTGCCATACACAGTGGAGGACTCGGTGGGGCACATATGTGAACTCATTTTGGATATGCTGTAAACAAGGAATACAATGGGCTAAATTACCTAATCAAGAGTGATTAATGAATTGTAAAATAATACATATGGGTGTAATTGAGCCGAATCAAGTTGATACACTGCACTACTACTCTTAGGCTCTTGACTCGATTCAAAAACTCGCTAGTCAAACTTGACCCAAGCTCGGCCGAGTTTTCTTTGTCTTAAATTCGGCTCAATTTGATACTCAACATACTTGAGAGTTGACTCAGTACAATTTTAATTAACAATAAAAGGCTATTTCATGTTAAAATAATCAATCCTAGGTAAAATTAATTATAAAATATTGTACAACATAATATATTGAGAGTATTGTGAATGAAAATATATTAACAATTGATATTTTTTTAAATACATGATTAGGCTTGTGAGACACTCGGTAAAAGGTAAACTATTTTATTTGAGTTCGCTTCAAATTTTAGTACCATTTAGTAAGTCTTTTTAGGAAGATTCTTATAATTAAGATGACCAAAAGATGTATTGAGCTTTTGGAATATTGTCTTTAAAGATATAGGGTCTCGTTTGGTTTGCAGAAATAGGTGTCTGGAATTGGAATCGGAATGGGCCATTTTCAATTCCAATTATTTGGTTGGGCAAAATCAAAAATCCATTCCTAATATTGGTGGTGGAATGACATTCCCCCATTTGAGGGAATGACCATTCCCTCCCCCTCCCCTATGAATGAAATCCCATTCTAGTTGAATTCAATTCCCATTCAAAATCCTATTTGAACCAAACAGACTATGTGAATAAATTATTCCGATTCGATTTCAAAGGATTTATATTCAATTCCAACTGCAAACCAAACAGACTGTAGATCTAGACTGTTTGATAAGGGTGCAACTTGGGTGAGCTTGAATTGTTGAATTGTTAAAAATTTTAATGGGCCCGGCTCAGAAGCCCGGATCTGATACAGTGTACGTAAATTCTTGAAATCGGATACTTGACTCACACCCTTACGCGATGTTTGGTTCGAAGGAAAGAGTAGGGAAAAGAAGGGAAATGCAGGGAAACTTATACAAGATTTGTAAAGGTTTCTCTTCCTTTCCTTTCATTTTCTTTCCTTTCTTTTCCCTACCTTTTCCTTCAAACCAAACATATCCTTAATGTTTGACAAGTATCCCAATCTAATGCAGTCTATAGAGCTATTAAATAAAAGAGTTTACGTCTAAGAAGACAGGAAGCTTCATTTGAAGTTTCCAGATTTTCAGGCATTTTGTAACTTTTTTAGTTTTTTGGACATAAGTCTTTCTGACTTTCTGTTTTTTTTTTTTTTCGTTAAATGGAAAGAAGCCAAATTTTGATTCTTTGAGCTTTAAAAAATACGAAAAACCACACAAAAAGACTTGCTAAATACCCCATTAATTGTTTATGAATGGAATTCAAATATTTAGTGAGTTAAGCTTGAATATCTATTGAGTTACGCAACCTGTTGTCATATCTTGTATTTAGCAAATTCGTGTATACATATCACCCGAACCACCCTATCTAAACAAATTCATATACAACCTGAACCTCCCAAGTAATTGGTGGGTTTGGATGAATTAAGTGGGTGGTGGATTGTGTAGGTAGTTTAATTGTATCAAAATTGTCGCTTTCTATAATTACTTGTAAACTCAAACTATGTATATATTTAGACATATTTAATTACCTTTGGCTTTTAATAGACGAGAATTATATAAAAAATTAAACGAAAAGAAAAAGGGTTCACAACTTCACACGTAACAATGGACAACGATCAACCCTCTGTCATATATATATATAGTAGCAAGAAATGACTTAAACATCCATAAATGATACAATAAAGAGGATTCTTGTAGTCAATTCCATATAATTTATATGATGATATGATGAAATACCACTTATTTTCACAAGGGTGGTTTGTAAAAATATTTAGGACAAAATGGAGACTTGCAAATGTTCAAGGCTAATTTTGTCAATTAACATGTTAAAAAATAATCAAGTAAAAGCAACATCTTTTTTTTTATAAAAGAAAAACAACATGTCTCACTAGTAAAAGTTATTTCTTTTTAATGGAAGAAATCAAGATCACATCTCAATGTAAGCAAAGACCCCATTTGGGATAATGCTTGTGGAAATTTCAATTTATGCACATGACCATGGAAGAATTTAAAAAAAAAAAAGACAACTATCCAAAATGTCGTATAATTTGGCTAGGCGGCCCCGCCACGAGACCTGTCAGTTTTCGTCCCCGTCAATCGTTTCCTTTCACGGGTGGTTCCACACGAGTTGCCAATAAGCCAAGTAGCCATTGAATTCAGATCTGCGCCCCACAACGTCTTACAGCACATCCCGTCGTGTATTGAGATCATCAGAAATGATGATATTATCATCGAGAAATATTCCCAATAGACAGCGGAGATGTCCTATGGGACGTTGTGGGGCGCCCCTTGTGGATTCGCAGATGTGAACTTACTCCATTAGCCAACTAGCCCAACAAGTGCATTTAAACAAATCATAAATGTAGGCTAAGAAATACAACCTCTTATAAATAACAAAGAAAAAGACAATATATATTTTTTAATTTTTTCAAAAATAAAAGAAAGTTGGAACTTGAGAAGTCATGTTCCAATTTTCGTTCTCTATATAATAGGATAAGCGCTGGAGTTTTGGAGCTGAGATCTATTGGAGTTTCTCCAACTGGTATTGTGTCCACTCTTCTGAAACCTGCTTCTCGTTGAGCTCCGGGGTTTCAAATTCCACGATTTGAGGTAAACACGGACCGCCCTGGTTTGTGTGGTTTGGAATTTCGCTATGTTTTTTTTTTGGTCTTATGATTTGTGATTCGGTGGGATGATTCGTTGGTCTGACTTTATGGGTAGTTTATTTGCGATGTTGTTGTAATGCGTAAGTTTCTGATAATCGTAGTGGAGTAGTGGGGTTCGTTTTTTGTCTGTTCATTTCGTGGTGGTGAGGGTAAGAATCATAGATGTTCTGTTTCTTCATCTTTTGTTCAATCATTACATTTGGCTCGGTTTTTGATCCCGTAAAATGGGTTCATTATTCTTGTAATAAAGATGGTTTTTAATTTGTTTTCCTTTTAGCAAAATTCCCCGATTCTTTGGTTTGCTCATTAACGCTGTAAAGGAAGCGAGTATTTTCATTTTCATGATACCTCTCTTGTCTCTTCTTTTTCGTCCACGGAAAGAAGGGTATCAACGTATTTGAATTTATGGTCTACTGTAATTATTTGATAATGTTTCTTATTCAAGGATCTAGATTAGAAATGAATGGGTAAGATTACATTTTCGAGTTTCTTTTAAATATATATATATATATTTATTTTGACGCCATTCTTTTAAATATATTTTTCTGGATGGATGCTGTTAATTCCGCCTCGATTTACTTCTTCATAATTTCACTTATGATAACATTTCTCTGCTATTCTTTTTCAATTTAATCGTGGAGTTAGTTTTGATGGTACTATGTGCTCTCACCATAAAAGTTTTGCAGATTGTGCTTTTTTTTTTTAATATGAATTCTTTGACTGAGGCAGAATGGGAAGTACTGATGGATCCATCTATGGGGAATACACATACGGGAATCTGGAGAGGGAGCCTTACTGGCCATCAGAGAAGCTCCGGATTTCTATCACTGGTGCTGGTGGGTTTATTGCCTCTCACATTGCCAGACGGCTGAAGAGTGAAGGCCATTACATCATTGCTTCTGATTGGAAGAAAAACGAGCACATGACAGAAGATATGTTCTGTCATGAATTCCATCTTGTTGATCTTAGGGTGATGGATAACTGTTTGAAGGTCACAACTGGTGTTGATCATGTGTTCAATCTTGCTGCTGACATGGGAGGGATGGGTTTCATTCAATCCAATCATTCGGTCATTATGTACAACAACACAATGATCAGTTTCAACATGCTTGAGGCTGCAAGGATAAATGGAGTTAAAAGGTTCGTCATCTTGGTAGTAACATTTTTACTGTTATCATATTTGGTTTCCCATTTGATATAGAATCTGGATTCTGGATGTTGTAATTGTTCTTCCCCGCTAGATGCATACTAAGTTGCTTGTTGGGACTTCGGGCTTGCAGGTTCTTCTATGCTTCTAGTGCTTGCATCTACCCTGAATTTAAGCAGTTGGATACCAATGTGAGCTTGAAAGAATCTGATGCCTGGCCTGCTGAGGTTTGTTGCCTTAATTAATCAGGAACAATTGGATCTATTTCTATCAATTTCAAACTAGCAACAATTTATGGGGTTCTGTTTTTCTGTTACTGTAGCCTCAAGATGCTTATGGCTTGGAGAAGCTTGCAACAGAGGAGTTGTGCAAGCATTATACAAAGGACTTTGGAATTGAGTGCAGGATTGGGCGGTTCCATAACATATATGGCCCCTTTGGGACTTGGAAAGGTGAGCTCACATATGTAGAAATTCCATATTTATTGGGTGAGCTTAGTTCATTGGTTAAATATTAATATATGCTATATTGCTCTTACTAAATGTAGGTGGGAGGGAGAAGGCCCCTGCTGCTTTCTGTAGGAAGGCCATTACATCCACTGATAAGTTTGAGATGTGGGGAGATGGACTCCAGACCCGATCCTTCACCTTCATTGATGAATGTGTTGAAGGTGTTCTAAGGTGATCACTCAAACCTATATATCTATATGAACATTTTTTAAAGCTCTAGTCTTTCAGTTTTGCTTGCTCCATTATCAATCAGCCGTATTGATTGGCTTTTTTATGTATTCAGATTGACAAAGTCAGACTTCCGGGAGCCTCTGAATATTGGAAGTGATGAGATGGTTAGTATGAATGAGATGGCAGAAATTGTCCTCAGCTTTGAGGACAAGAAGCTTCCTATCCATCATATTCCTGGCCCAGAGGGTGTCCGAGGTCGCAATTCAGATAATACTTTGATAAAGGAAAAGCTTGGCTGGGCCCCAACCATGAGATTGAAGGTAAGTGCAAGGGAAGATTTCGCTTTCTTGTTCATTCATTCTAATGCCTCAAATGAAATAGACAACCAACTAATCTTGGGCACTCCCATCTTTGTGCATCCAGGATGGGCTGAGAATTACTTACTTCTGGATCAAGGATCAGATTGAGAAAGAGAAGGCTCAAGGTGTTGATCTCTCTGTTTATGGATCATCCAAAGTGGTTGGAACACAAGCACCTGTTCAGCTTGGCTCACTTCGTGCAGCTGATGGTAAAGAATGAAATTGGTGAACCCAAGGAGCAACCATGGTTGCACTCAAGATCATAGTCTTGTGGAAACTACCGTGTTATTATTGTTGGGGAGGAAACATTGGGTATGGATAGTAATGGTCATTTAAGGTATGTGGTCCTTTTGTTTTTCTTATTACTAGTTGAGTGTATGAAGGAAATGTTTTGCGCCCATGTATTGTTCTAGTTTTTGAGAGTGGGCCTCTGTTATGATATAATAGTTAAGGAATGTATCCCTCCTTTTTTAATTGTCAGCAGGTGATTCTGTTGCTATCCCCCTTGTACTTTTGTTCTCCTACTTGTGTGAAAATCTTCATGCAAGTTGTTCTTTATGAAGGTTGGTTCATTGGTGGTTATCAAATTTAATCAATAGCAATATGCTTTTGCATTTTAAAGAGGTTGAATGAGGTTAAAAAACAGGGAAGGCTGTTTAATGTGTTGGAACAAGGCTTTCTGGGTATTCCCATGTTCTCCAAAACTTCTTGCTATGGTTGAACAGTCAAGATCAGGTAGATTTGTATGGGAGCTGGAAATGTGAATCCCCCATGTAACATGGACATGATGACAAGTGACCTTGAAATCAGATTATAATTTACTTCAATGACACTAACATACGTATTCATAAAGTGGTTTCTTTTTTCTCCTTTTTTCCATTGTCTTTTCTTCCCATGACACTCAAGTTTGTTTAGGATCACTATATTTTTAATACACTGAAGAAGGCACGTTGGATGTAATAGAAACACATTCAAGTAATTTAGGCATGAATGGTTTGTCTGAGGAGCCAATACTTCGTACAAGGGTAAACAAGCATGAAAGTGCAGGTTTGAGTCTTGAGAACAACATTTTGTGATAGAATTCTCGAGGTTAGGTCCATATGCAGTCCATCCCTCCCATGACCCTAGATAGCCCTAGGACCAGCACTGCATAATGTCCATTTTTTATGACTGTAGAAATGCCAAGTCCTGAATGACAGCATATTTGGTGAAGTCTGTGAGTGCTTATGGCACATATGACATGCCTTAATTGATTTCACCAACTAAGCTACATCCAAAATGTGTGTGCTTTCGTTAACATAATCTAAAGGAAAGCTGGAAAGGTGTTTCAAATGGAGGTCCTTATAACTCGTGTATAGGATGCCAATTTTTCAGAAATTTAAGTATTACGTCACAGTGGTGGGCCACCTCTATCAATAAAAATATGAATACTTGCTCACATAAAGAAAAATGACTGGCTAATGTAAAAATCTCCAAGGGATGGTTATCTTGTGTTGGTGGTTTAAGAACCCAAGAATAAATTGACCCTACTTCCTTGGGGATCCTTTACTGTTTTTAGGGTTTTAGTGGATTGAGAAGATAGGTACACTGGTCAGATATCTCAGCAGCTTGATCACACTTCAGCAATCTTACCTACAATAATTGGAATAGTTGATAGTTGTGCTCGATGTACTTTTCACCCGAATGGTCCTAAAGTTTCAGATGAGATAACATCTTTTATTATGACTAGCCTTAATAATTTGAAAAAATGTGATTCACCTGCCTTGTTACATGGAAGCAGGAAAACTCACAAAGACATTTACATCATGTAACCATTTCTAAAGCTTGATAATCACTCAGTTGTATAACTATATGCCATGGGTAGGCTTCTTACATGGAGAAAGTGTGCATGTAGTGTTGAATTTCAACTGTTGTGCCCAAAGACCACAAAACAAGTACAAGGCAACACGTGTACAATAAAATTTTCATTTTCAAAATCAAGCTTATCAAATAAAAAATAAAATAAGAGGAAGGAAAAGTATCATGTGGCGAATAGAACTGACCTTTCTGGTTAAATGTTGATCTAAAGTTCTCTTGTCATCTAGAAAGTACAATAGTTTGCTGAAATATACATCAAAACATTGAATTTAGTGGGGGATTGCAAATCCAACACACTTCTGTGTAACTGTGTTCCAATGCTACCTAGGCAATTATGACATAGGCAACTTTAAACAACATTGGGATATATGATAACTGCCTGAAGGGCTGGCACTATGTGGCATCATCATCAACATTCAGAATTTTATCTTTAGAGGAGTGGCCTTGACTGGTGTACAGCGAAATCATATTAAACTTTAAACAATAATTTGCTGAAATATACATCAAAGCATTGAATTTACTGGGGGATTGCAAATCTAACACACTTGTGTGTTCAATGCTACCTAGGCAATTATGACATATGCAACTCTAAACAACATTTGGATATGATAACTGCCTGAGGGCCTGGCACTATGTGGCATCATCATCAACATTCAGAACTTTATCTTTAGAGTGGTCTTGACTGGCGTACAGCAAAATCAGATTGAACTTTGATGGGTGCAATTTGCGTAACCATGGTCTTCCAGGTATTGGAGTATTTAGGGAGTCATGATATGATCTTATCCATTTACTTATACCCTATTGGACTAGGGACTCCACTACAGCTGTAAGTCTGGGTGGTGTTATATGGACTGATACTAAGAAGATTTCTAAACCTTAGAGACATAGGAAGGGGATTCTAAGGTGGTACTGCACTGGTTTAGAAATTATAGTCAGGGTTTATTGCAATCAGAAATGGTATGACTTATGAGGGAAATAAGTGACCTGGTTAGGGGATTGGTTACCACCTATTCCTTGGTTCATAGATCAGCAAATGACTTGGTTGACATGATGACCAAACAAAGGGTAAACAGGGCTCAAATTTTCTGGGGGCAATCGTAAAATGATTACTTGTAAAAAGGAAGGGGGAAGGGTTAGGTGGTAGATGCCAACCCATTCTTTGGGGTGCTTAGAACTTGCTGTATATATGTTATTCTTTTCCTTACAGTTAATAAAATTTCTACTGTTACCAATAGAAACATTGGGTCACAATAACACCTTTAATTGCTGGAACATAATTTATTTTTAGTGAGCAGTTTTTATTTGTAATATTTCATATTGCAAAACCACTTTTCTTTAACAATAAAGGGAAAAGGAAAAAAACTTCTATTCTTGTGAGAAAACTTATTAATATTACTACTAATGGCTTTTTTTATCAATATATTATTAGTAATGGTTTTAAACCATAAACCAGCCTTTTGCCAAGGAATGTGGACTAGCTTGTTTTGGTCTACCCACTAATTTGAGAGTAAAATGCAGAAAATGAAACTTTTTGCTAGGCAAATGCATACATATAGATGAAATGTCTCCATTTATGCGTGTATATTAGAAAGTTATAGGTCTCTTTGTGGACACTGAAGTTGGAAACAGTATATGTATAGCAGGTCTATCTCTAACCTTGACCTTAATTTATGATCTAATGGTCAGGAAGGGATGACAGCCTATTGATGCATGAAATAGGGCCACCTAGCAGCTTCTACCAAAAAAAATATATAAAGAAAAAAGCTTAGAGCTAGCAGCACATCAACCTGGCCTTAAGATCTAGAAAGATGAAATTGTAGCAATGTGCCAAGATCTTACAACGTCAACAGGAATTTCTCTTTAGGAGTGTTAGAGGGTTGGTATCTGTTTGTCCTGTAGCTATAGTAGTTCGAATCAGAAGAAGAAGAAGAGAACAACTGAACATGATAGCCTAAACCTTATTCGTCGACCCTAATATGGATTAGTCTCTAATTAGTAGTACAAAGACTAAACTGCCCCCACTTAAGTATGGGACAGGAAGTCTCTATTAAAACTACCACATAAGCACATAACTTAACAGAAATAAAATGACTAATCTACCCTTATTCGACTAGCTCTAACGCTCCCCCTCAAGCTGGAGAATATATGTCATATAATCCCAACTTGTTACATATATAGTTCACTCTCCCTGAGCTTAAGCCTTTTGTAAACAAATCTGCCCATTGGTCACCTTAGCCCACATGTTCTGTGCTTATCTCTCCAATAAGGACCTTTTCCCTCACAAAGTGGCAATCTATCTCTATGTGCTTTGTTCTCTCATGAAAAACAGGGTTAGATGAGATATGGAGTGCAACTTGATTGTCACAGTACAATTTCATAGGTCTATTCATGGAGACCCCGATTTCTTGTAGGAGATTCCTCAGCCATTCTAATTCACATGTAGTGTACCATGGTTTTGTATTCGGCTTTAACACTGCTCCTTGCCACAACCGTCTGCTTCTTATTCTTCCATGTCACAAGATTTCCTCCAAGAAATGTGTAGTAACCTGTAGTAGATCTTCTATCAAACACAGAACCTGCCCAATCTGCATCTGTATACCCAATTACTTCAAGTCTTCCTCCTGGTTTGTACAATAACCCACGACCTGGAGCTCCCTTCAGGTACCTTACAATTCTAAGAACTGCATCCCAGTGAGGTATTCGAGGGTTCTGCATAAATTGGCTCACCACACTGACTGCAAAGGAAATGTCTGGTCTCGTGATAGTCAAATAGTTCAGCTTCCCCACTAACCGTCTATACCTTCCAGGATCATCAAATATTTCCCCTGTATCACTGCTCAACTTAGCATTTGGCTCCATGGGAGTTTCAGCCGGTTTTGCACCTAACAATCCTGTTTCATCCAGCAGATCAAGAACATATTTTCTTTGGCACAGGTTTACACCTTGCCTTGATTTAACAACTTCTATACTAAAAAAATACTTCAATGTCCCAAGGTCTTTTGTTTGAAAATGATTTTGCAGAAAGACCTTTAGTTTATCGATCCCCAATTTATCACTACCAGTTATGACAGTATCATCCACATAGACCACTAATAAAATCTTTCCAGCTTCTAAATCATAGCTGAGCACCGAGTGGTCAACCTGGCATTGTTTCATAAACCAAGCAAGAGGCGATCATTTTAACTCATAAATTGCCTTTTTCAATCTGCACACCTTACCATCCTCYYCYTGAGCAACAAACCCAGGTGGTTGCTCCATATATACCTCCTCCATAAGGTCACCATGAAGGAAGGCATTTTTAATGTCAAGTTGAAACAAGGGCCAATCATACATAACTGCCAGGGAAATTAAGACACGGACAGAGCCAATCTTAGCCACTGGAGAGAAGGTCTCCATATAGTCCACCCCATACAATTGTGAATAACCTTTACCAACAAGTTTGGTCTTCAGGCGCTCCACACTACCATCTGGCAAGTATTTAACAGTATACACCATTTACAACCCACAACATGCTTACCAGGAGGAAGAATAGTGAGCTCCCACGTGTGAGTATGCTGAAGAGCAGAGAGTTCCTCCTCCATTTCCTACCGCCACCCAGGTGAGCTAAGAGCCTCTTGGACATTCTTAGGTATAGAAATAGATAATAACAATGAAACAAACTGGCGATGTGAAGCGGAAAGGTGAGAGGTTGAAACAAAATTGGAAATGGGATGGAGGGTACAACTACGTTTACCTTTCCGTAAAGCAATGGGAAGAT